GGAGCTTGCCGTAGCCCTCGGAGCCACAGAGCCCTACGGAGCCCCAGGGAGGGGAAGCTGGATGCTGAGCCTAGACACGACTGGAGACCCTGGCCTGTGACGTTCATCTCCCAGACACCCAGCCTGCGGCTCCAGGGCAGCCGGCAGCACGGAGTGACCCCATCTTCAAGGCTGCAGCGCTGGGAGCGTGAGGAAAGGGCTCCTTTGCGTCACTCGTGGTTTTGCAGATTTCATGTCTCCTGGTGATGTCAGGGCATCCTGGGCAGTAGGAAATAGCCGCTCTCTCCAGAATGTCTCCCTGTGACAGCAGCTTTCTCTGGCGAGGGCGCAATCCACACTTGGCAAGGCCTGGCCTTCTCCAGCTCCGTTTCTAGCCCCGGCTCCCAGTGAGCAAGAGCTCCTGAAAGGCGCTCAAGCATTTGGAGCCCGCGGAGCACTGTGCGGGGCAGGGAGAAGGCGGCAGCAGTGCCTGACTTCTTTGTTCCCACTGCAGCCTCGGCCTCGGAACCTCAGATGGCCTCTGCTTGTGGACAGTCCCTGAGCGGCCAGGCAGGCGGTGTTAGGTGTCAGCTGGCTCCCACAGCCCGGGTGCCCACGTCCTTGGCACGGCTCGGTGGCAGGAGGGAGCCTAGCTCCTGAGGCAGCTCTACCAGGCTTGGCTGTGCCGAGCTGCGGAGCCATGGCCCTGCAGTCTCTGGGACCTGCGTCACCCTGGCTTAGGCGTCTTGAGTCAGAGCCAGGAGATGGATCTGCCATGTGGAGGTGGAGGTGCTGCTGCCCAGGAGGCCAGGGTGAACCTCAGCCTCCCGCCTGTGCGCAGCTTGGGGCACTGGGCTCGTGTGTCCCTCCCCCGGCCTGGGCTAGATCTGATCCGGGCTGCTCTGCTCTCTGCTGGCCGTACCCAGGTCTCCTTCCATGCTTGCCAGGAGCCGCTGTCCAGGATGGGCAGAGCTGCGACAGGAGGGGCACTGGCCCCTGCCCAGCTTGCTGGTTTGCCCACTGGGCCTGTGCCCGAGCTGTCCCTTTGCAATACCACTCCTGCCATGTCCTCTGGGCAGGTTTTGCTCCCCATCCAAGCATTCACCCAAGAATTGCTTATTTGACGGTCTTGCTTGGCAGCTCTGCTCCACCCCAGCAGCCCCCTTTTCCTTAGCCACCTCTCTCTGGACCTCTCTTAAAGGCTCTGTGGCATAATCCTCCCTTCCTGCAAAGGGCCCCCTCCTCCTGCTTGGGAGGAGACCTGGGGGCTCCATTCTCTGCAAATCCTGCAGGCTGATGTATAGTAGGTGCCTAAGAAAAGCAGGCTGGATTTAATTAAGGGGGTTCCTAAAGGCAGCCTTGGAGTCTCCCTTTGTTAATGATGTGGTGAAGCAGGGAGGTGGAGTTCACCATGGAGAGCTGACCTCCCTCCTGCCCGCCCCTGCCCTTCCCAAGGGTTGGGTCGTCATGGGGGCGGGAGTGTCCCCTCCCCGCCTGCATCCAGCCACACCGCACGCCTTTGCCTTCCTTGCTGGCAGGAGCTGGCCCTAGAAAACACCCCAGTGGAAACTGCATGAATGATTGATAAGAGCTGAGAGCTGTTTAATTTTTTCCCCCTGTTTAATGGCTATCAATAATTTAATACGCTCTCTGTATGTTTTTAAGAAATAGCACCCATTTTGCCGTCTCCGGTTTAGCGGGCTAAATGATTTAAGTGTTGGAAATGTGCTCTGAGGACGGAGGCCGAGCGAGCTGGGGAGATGGGGGGGGGGGGGACAGAGCCAACCACGGCATCTTGGCCTGGGTGAGTGTGATTGTGCGCGCGTGTGTGTGTGTGTGTGTGTGTGTGTGTGTGTGTGTGTGTGTGCAAGAGAGGGAGGAGAGAGAGAAGGCGGGAGGGAGGCGGGGAGGGAGGGCGGTAAGAGCCAGAGCCTCTCTGCTAAGAGCAAGCTTTCCAGGCCTCCTGAGCAGCAGCGGAGCAGCTGTCGCCCCCTCCCATGATGCTGAGCTTTTCTGGATGTCTCTGGGGGGCTCAGGGCCAGGAAGGAGCTGGGCTGCTGTCACCATGGGCTGACAACCCCCCTCCCCTGACATCTCTGCCCCCCTCACCAGCTTTTCAATCATTTTTATTTTAATGATGTGGGGAGGCCAGCGCCTTCCAGATGGGGTAGGGGGGACTCAGAATTGCTGACCTCTGGGTCCTAAGGAACCTGGGAGGTCATCTGCTGGGCCCCCCAAACCTTCCAGATATAGAGGATCACCGGGGGAGACTTATTAACCATTTACATTTCTGAGCTGTCTCTGAGACCCAGACTTCATCCTAGGGGTGGGGGTAGGGCAGGGCCACTGTGTTCATAACCATCCACCCAGGTGACTCGTAGCAGGAGTCCAGCTCCCTCCTGGTGCCCACAGTGGCCAGCCCCAGGTAGCCACTTCCCTGCTTGCATACCTGTGGGGCACAGGTACCCTCTTCTCCATGTCAGAGTTCCTCCTACAGCCCGGCTGTGACCTACTTACTGGTTGTCCTGTGTGTCCATGGTCCCCTCTTCTGGGACCTGACTACACTGGCGTTGTGCTGGGCAGGAAACTTCCTTTCTTAGCAAAGGGGGTACTGGATGCCAGGGATAGGTGACAGGGTGCCATGCACCAAGGTGACTGAATCAGCCTTCTCCTGGCTGGCACCTTGGCTGGCATAGCTGGGTGCCTGAGAAAGCCAGAAAGAGACCCTAGGTCACAGAACTGCCTTGACCCTTTGGGGCACAGTGCCTACTGTAAACAAGTTACCCTGATGAGCAGAGGAGCCTGCTGGGGTGTTGCCCTGTCCTGTGTGGATTCATGATTTGCCTTGTGATCGCTAGACCTGTGTCCCCGATCCCCACAAACTGCTCTGGTCAACACAAGCTGGGGCCCTTGACCTTGAGGAAGAGGAACTGGGGTGCTTGGAGAGTTCCAAAGGCTGGGGTAACAGAAGAACCAGACAGAACTGCACCATCAGGGAGGCTTCCTGTGGAGGGGGACTGGCCCTGCCCCTGTTGGAGGGAGGGTCTTGCAATTTGCGTTTTTCCCTAGTACTGGAATGTTACATCCACGCACCTCCTCTGCGTGTAGCTCAGCAAATTGGAAGTGAGCATGCTTTGCTGTCAAAGAGTAGAACACCCTGTCCCCTAGCAGCCCTGTGTGCCTGCAGGGACCTCCCCCTGCAGGAGAAGCCAGTCCCACCTTCCAGCAGCCTGTTGTCACCCTGTGCCACTGCCCCCAAGCCACCCCAAAGTGAGTGGCCTCAGATAGTCATCACTTAGAAATCGCACCATACAGTGGTGTACCTAGGCTGCCGGTCACCAGAAGCCTCACTGTCAGCTGGATCTGATGGCCTCGGTTACCCAGGTAGTGGTCCTGCTGTTGGCTAGGACTCAGTTTACCTCCCGTAAAGTAGGTTGGTTCCCTCCTGCAGCTGAATCCTCAGAGTCAGTGTCAAGAACAACAGGACCCTTGAGACCTCATGTCTGTACCCTGCATCTGATTGATTAAAACTAGTCTCTGGGCTGGGGATACAGCTCAGTGGCTTGAGCACCTGCCTGGCAAGCACAAGGTTCTGAGTTCAATCCCCAGTACCAAAAACAAAACTAGTCTCAAGGCCCTCCCACATTTCGGGGCAGAAGGCAGACTCCGCCTCTTGGTGGGAGGGGCTTGGAGGTGCCATGGTCCTGTGTAGTGGGATAGCTGTCCTCACCCTTGTTGCAAACGGATCTCTTAAGTGAGTTCTGCGCTGCATCTGGCTTGTAAGGTCAGTGTAGCGCACGTGAGATGTATTTGCGTTCAAGTTGCAGCTGCACCCTGCGCTTTCTCGATGCTGTGGAGCTCATTGTTGGTCTGTGTAGCCACGTGAGAAGACCTCGGTGTTTGTTTTTGTTGAGACGGGCTCTTGCTGTGTAGTTTCGGTGGGCCTTGAACTCACTGTGACCCCAGGGTGGCCTCGAACTCCCCTGAGATCCTCCTGCTTCAGCCTCCCAAGTGCTTTGACTGTATCACCACCCCTGGCTAGGCTTCAGTTTGGGGCTGCAGTGCAGAGTGCTGCTGGGCATATTCCGGGACAGCTGTGTGGTGAGATGTGTGTGCAGACGCGGCCCCTTGTGGAGCTGAGGTTGATTCCTGGGCCGCAGGGACTTCACGTGTTTTCCCAAGTGTGTTCCGGTAAACTCCCCACTGGTGATTCTGAGAGACACGGGGGCATCTCTGGTCCTGGCCAGCTGCTGAGGCCCCCAGTGAGGTCCCCCTGCCCGGTGCCACCTTCCCTGGCTGGGGGACTCCCACCAGCAAGGGGAGCCCACAGCACTGGGGGAGACATCACAGTAGCCACAGGACCTGGCCTGGCCTCTGTCTCTTGCTGTGGCACTGTGGGAGGAGCCACCAAATGCTTAGTGCCTCACTTGTAAAATAAGAATGTCTGTCCTCCTGCCAAGCTGACCCTGAGGTCTGCACCCCGGCAGCGAGAAGGACGTAGTGCTTTGGAGGCCCCCATGGCTTCCTGGTTTAAAAGCTGGTGATGTCAGGGCTCAGTCCTGGCCCAGTATCCTGGCTCTGTTTGGCTTTTTCTTGCAGATAAAAAGGTGTTCTGGGACAGATAGAGATAGAGGCTTCAGTTAAGGTGGGATAGTGGCCCATTTTATGGAATTGAGAAGCATTTGACCTGGGGCCAAGGGGCCTTGGATACAGAGAGGTGGATGTCAGAGCCATGGCCAGTGACCCAGTGTGTGCAGGGCAGGGGTCAGGAGGCCGGGCTGGTGGGGCACCCAGGTGGGTGTAGTGCCATCTTGTGCTGTCCAGTGGTGCTTCAGGGGTCACCTAGGCTGGTCCAGGGCCTGAAGGGGAAGCTCAGGAGGTAGGAGTTTCCCTTGAGTGGGTCAGCTGTATTGTCCAGATGGCCAGAAGGCCTTGCACTGGGGCACCTGGAGATGGGGGAGGGGAAGGGCTGCCCTTAGGTCAGAATTGGAACTCATGGTCTCTTCTCCTCTGCCCACAAGGCCTGCAGTGACTGCTGGGTTACAGCGAGGCTGGAGCCACCTCCTCCTTCCCTGCCACCTCCCTATCTGGACACCTCAGCAGCCTGAGTCTTGGTTGGCCTCCAGAATCTCAACAGGTGAGGGGACAGGGTTTGTCTTACGGTGTATGCTAGCCACCTGGGTAGGCTGGGAGCAGGTGCGGAAGGGCCCACTTTTTCCTTGGTCTTTTCTGGTGGGCCATTGAAAGGCTCGGGGCCTGGCCTGGAGCTTGGCTGTTGGTTTATTTTATTCTGCTCACCTCCCAGTGTAGCTTGGGGGAGCCGGGTCCTTCTGGTGTTGAGCTTTCTCAGCTAGTACACAGGAGAAATATTAGTAATGACAATGACAGCGCAACACCCAGCCGGACATGGCAGTGCACACCTATAATCCCAGCACTCTGGAGGCTGAGGCAGGAGTATTGTCTGGACTACATACTGAGTTCAAGGCCAGCCTAACCTACACAGTGAAATCCTGTCCCCAAATAGAGCGAGGTCCCCAGGCATTATGGGCATTCGCTGAATTATGAGTACTGTGTTAAGTACTGCATAATTATCACTTCCTCTTCCTAATCATTTGGGGACCTAATAGCTATACTTGTCACCACAGCACAAGTGACAGAATCGAGGCTCTGTGTCAGGAGGTGACTTCCCCGAACTCACACAGCTAACTAGGCCTGGGGCTGCAGTCCTGCACCCCGGCTACCCTGTTCTTCCTGGAGGGTGGGGGTTGGGATGATCATGATGCCTGGGCCTAGGGCAAGGTAAATGGGAGCCCTTTCCCAAGGGCATAGTGACTGTGATGCGGCATCTTACAGGCTTGGCTTTCAGAAGCCAGAGAGGTGGATATCAGAGAGCCATGGCCAGAGGTGGCCCCAGAGTCCCCCCTGGAGAAGGTAGTCTGTGGCTGGATGAGGCTCTATCCAGCTTCACCCCATTCATTCGGTTTCCTGAGTGCGCTTTAAGCACTCACTGTGCACTGGGACCTGTACCAGGCACTGCAAGGCAGGGGAAAAGGGCTTGTCCCATGCCTCGCACCCTGGAAAAGTACAGACGCTGAGTCCTGTGCAGGAGTGAGTGGCTCCTCTAGAAAGGAGACTTCTGGGATGGTGATCCCAGAGTGAGGAATAGTGCAGGCACAGAGGGCGTCTGGAGAAGCCTGGCCGGTGGAGGAGCTGGCAAGGGGCTGTGATGGGCCACAGATGCCAGGTGGACGTTGCACCCTAGGGAGAGTCAGAAGCCTTCGAGGGCTCTAAGTCAGGCAGCGCTCTTGGTGGTGGGTTCCGGCCAGGTCCTGTGGCTGCAAGGGGAGGCTGCTGGAAGCAGTGGCAGGGGTGGGCTATTTGCTGTTCCCAGGGGAACGCCTCAGAGCTCAGCAGGAGGCAGGCTGAGAGGCCTGAGACACAGGAAGGGACACGGACAGATTCGCAGATGGCCTGCCAGTGCCAGGATGTGGAGGGAAGAGAGCTGCCCCCTGTGGGCTGTGGCTAGTGTTGGAATTCTGAGTAGGAGGTCTGGATTAGGAGAGATTCTTAGAGGAAGTGGACAGATTGTGGCCCCGAAGTCTGAGAGGGCTGAGATTTTCGTAGGGAAGAAGGAGAGTTGGGTGGCGCTGTCTTGACACATGGGCCTGATGTGGTCATTTGCAGCTGGGCGTGGTGGCCCACACCCAGCATCTTAGCATTCAGGAGGCCAAGGCAGGGCAATCACTACAAATCTGAGGTCAGCCTGGGCTACCTAGGAAGTTCAGGTCAGTCTGGAATACATAGCAAAACCTATCTCAAAAAAACAAGCTCCCAGAAGTCTAGACATACAAATGTCCTCACCTAGGAGCCCCAAGGCCATGCCACACACAGCAAGGACACACGGATGTGCAGACAGACATATAAATGGTCATGTGTACACAGATATGCACATATATGTGCAGATGTCACTCATGCAGGACACATGTGTGCACACAGACACATGCATTCAGGTCGAGCCTTGTCACCTGCAGCTTTCAGCAGCCCCCAGGACCCCAGGCAGCTCTGGGCCCAGCCAGGCCATAGCTCTGTGGGTGCTTTGGAGGGTGGTCATTTGACCAGCTATGTGTGCCCCCTTGCCTCTCCTGGGCCCTGGCTTCCTCTCCTGTAGGCCCAGGGAACTTATTGGGACATTCCTGGCACCCTGGAGCCATTTTTCTTATGAAAAGCAGGTCATGGGTGGAAGGGTGCTGAGTCCTCTGAAGATTCCAGATCTGGGGCCTGGCACCCCACCTGCCCCTCCAAGGGTGGGGTGTCTGTCATCCCTGCCCCTCCCCAACCCTGTGACTCCTTGGGGTTGTGTAGCACCCACCTTTGGAACGTCTGGCTCCTTAGGCTGCTGTGTTCCCTACAAGCTCCTTGAATTCCCCCCAAGAGGGGGAATCTTACTGAACCCTTCCAGGTGGGGAAACTGAGGCATGTGAGTAAGGGGAGGTTCCGAAGGCCACCTACTTGGAAGGGTGATTCAGAGCCAGACTGAAGGCTGCCTGCATTTGCTCTCTTTAACCCAGTGATCCCCCTTGAGATTGGGTGGCTGGATGCCTCCTTCGCAGAGGAGGAGGCTGAGTCCCACAGCCAGGATGAATTGTTGCCGCGAACATGCTGCACCCTGAGATTTGTCCCCCTCCTTCCTTCCTGGGAGGGTCTTCAAGTGGGAGGGGTCCCAAGAGAGCCACTGAGGTTGTTGAGGCTCAGTCTTAGCCCAGTAGCCCTGGCATCTTGGGGACAGATGGGGACACAGGCTTCGGTGGTGTTCCAGTCTCACCATCTGTCCCTGTCCACCTGCCAGCCCCAGGATGGTAAACCTCAGTGGCCTTGGTGTTTTGTTCTTTTCCAAATCCACCGGATTTGGGTTGAAGAGCTGGCAGCCCGGTGGACAGAGGACAGGGCACCATATCTGGGTGAGACAAGCTAGTAGACCAGGCCTGTAATCTCAGCACTCAGGCTGAGGCAGGAGGATTGCACAAGTACAAGGCCAGCTGGTGCTGTAGAGTGAGTTCAAGGACAGCCTGTGCTACATAGTGAGATCTTATCTCAAAAAAATAAAATAAAATAAAACAACTCAACACTCGATGATCAAATGATTAGGGGTGCAGGCTTGGCCTGGGCTTTGGGGTATTTCCAGCACTGCCCCTCCTTTCTTTGTGGCTTTGGATTGTGATTTTACCTCTTTGCAGTCAGGCCTGCTAGTGACCACAGATGGAGGTGCACTCCCTGCTGACCCCAGGCTGTAGGTGGCTGGCCAGAGGTCCTGGAGAGAGGAGTGGTTGTGTTATCTTAGGAAGGGACATAGAGCAGGGCTTGGGTAGGGTGCATCTGGGGTGCCCAGGAGATGATGACCCGGCCACCGCTCAGGTCTGGGACAGCCCCGAGGGCTTGCTTTGCATTGCAGCTGTCAGGGAGTGCTTCCCAGTCACGGGGTGGTGAGGGCCTAGTTGCGAAGACCTGGGTGCTCGGGCCAGTGCCCAGTGCCCAGCCCCACCCAGCCGTGGGCGCACAGGACTGGGATTCCAGGGACGTGCACACGGCGAGCCTGTCAGTCTGCAGGCCAGCTGGGAATGCACAGCCCGCCCCCTGCCCGCCCTGTCACCCCCATCCCAGCCTGGGGCTGGAAATAGTCTGAAGCCTGCTTCTCATTCCTGCCCAGGGCTGATCATCCCAGCAGGCCCAGCACTGGCCCTTTGTGTCACCACAGACCTGCTGTATGACCTTAAATAAGTGGCTGTGCTTTTCTGAACTGCTTTTTGTTAGTCTGTAAAGCCAGTGGTTGTGTTGGGTCAGGTGGTCACAAAGTACACCTTTCAAAGACAGGGACAACTCAGGGATGCTAAGATTATCCTACTGTACAGGTGTGGAAACTTGGAACTGAGAGCTTGGGGCACCTTGCCAGGGTCACAAAGCTGCCGGTAGTGTGGACTCGGACCCAGTTTTGTCTGTTGTGAGTTTTCGCTGTGACATCAGACTGCCTAGCATAGCCCCTAGGCTGCTGCCAGTGACTCCTTCACCTTCCAGCTGATGTGGAACAGCTGTGGTGGCACAAGTGCCCCAAAACTGTGGTCATTGAGGTGTGGAGAGAACACAGCCCCACCGAGCCTGGGTCACAGAGCCCGGGGGTGGCATCCTGGTGCCTGCAGGGGGAGGCAGATGCATTCCAGAGTGTCAGCACTCAGCTGCCAAGGACTTCAAGGCCAAGCGCAGTCAGGCCTGGATTCTGCAGAGCAAGGTGTGGGAAAGCTGTACGGGCACTGGGAGGGCTCGCCCCAGCCTACAAGCTGGGCAAGGTACGGTAGACTCCTCCACTTGGGCACCCCGACTGCCAGGCACCACCAGGCCTTCATCAGCAGCCCTGCTGGCCTGGAGCTGGGCTCTGTACCAGGAGGGGAAGCCAGGTACCATCATCTTTTGCCACCTTCAGCTCACATGACTGTTGACAAGGTAGGATCGGAGAAGCCCGTAGACCAGGGTAGGGACACAGCGTCACTGTGGCAAGCCTAGGACGTATCCCCCACTTGCGTGTGACAGCTCCTGTCCTCATTGGTGCTGCTGAGAGTCTCACGGGCATCAGAGCATGCAATTCTCCCTCCTGCTAAGTGGGGCTCGCTCTGTGCCTCTCGAGCTCTGAGTCACCACCTGGGTAGAGGGCCACCTTGCCCACGCCCTGGGTCTCCGTGTCCACAGCCTCCATGGCCTTATCCCAGGTGCCCGGTGGGCTGCAAAGAGGAATCTGTGCATTTCTAACAGTCGTAGTCCCCTGTGGAACCTCGTTTGCGGTGTCTCCTCTTCCTTTACCTGGACAGCTGAGGGTGGTGATGCAAGCCCATAATCCTAGCATCTGGGAGGCCGAGGCATGAGGGTCACTGCACAATTACCCCTCGGGCTCAGGGGCTGATACAGACATCAGGTCCAGGCCTGAGAGCTTAGAGGAAGGAGAGTTCCCTCCCTTGTCCTTCGGAAGCCCACTTGGCCAAGCTAAGCGGAGGACCCAGGTGGCCACAGATAGCACCCGCACTACCGAGGGCGAGGGCCTGGGGCCTATGAGGGGCCGGGAGCTCAGAAAGGCCTTCCTAGAGGAAGTGAGGC